CTGGACGACTTTCCCCCACTCACATTTTACAGGCACACCCAAACTTACTTTCAGAACTTGTTCAACACAAGAAGATATAGCTTGCCATAGTAATACAACATTGTGGCTTGACACCTGTAATTCAAACTAATCACTAACATTACAAATTTAATTTGATTAGCAAATTATTCACCTTTGCTTTTATTAACTATTACAAGTCCCCCCTTTTTTTATTTATCAGTAATTTGCTTATCAAATCTTATTGCAACTTTTTGGAAGATATAGAACTTTAATACCTGGAATTTTATTCACTTAGTAAATAGTAATTTAGTTTTCAGTCTTATTTCGGTGATATAGGCTATTAGCAAGCTTGTTTTTGCAGAGTTAGTTGTCTCCACAATTGTACCCCTCTGCCTCCTTCGTCTACTCCTTTGCAGGGAGCAACGAGGTTATTAGTTCTTCTCAGCAGCAGTGGTACTCTTCAAGAGTTCTGCTTTTATGCTCACTTATCTTTTTTGTATGCCAATTTTTCTCGCATATTTCTCAGGTTTCAGGTATTAATAATTCTCATCTACAAAATAATTTACAAATTTTTATACTAGTTCTTTGTTCTTTTACAGTTAAGTGATGATCTCTACAGTTCATACAATGAATATGATGCAAGGTTGAAGTACAATACCATTTCTTATCACACTGTATGCATTTACAAATCACCCACCCCACATGCCCCGAAGTGGGATGTTTTATGCAAGGTATACCCCAAAGTTCTTTCAATGGTTCAGGTATTTCAGTTTTTACTTCACAACACAGAGGGAGAAAATGGAGATTCTAGCTCCTCTTGTCTGATAGGGTATTCGTTCATCACATCAGGGTGTCATAGTTACTCTTTGCGGAGTGTCCCCAGGAGTTATTTGGAACCACTGGTATAAGTTAGTTCTTCATTTGAAGATCTCCTGGTTCGGATGTTATAGTCCACTTTGGGGAAGATAAGTAACACTCAAACATACCTCAGCAGTATGCTGGCTGACAGACATTTATGGTCAAACCCTTGCCCTTATTTACTCCTGTACAAATCCAACACTTCAAAATCTTGAGACAGAAATAATTATAAGGGTGTGTAACCAAAATTATATGAGTAGACTGTTGTACTGGAATT